CCTTGTTGAACTTCATGAGGTTCTCACAGGCCACTTCTCCAGCCTGTCAAGGTCCCTCTGGATGGCATCCCTTTCCTCCAGTGTGTCCACAACACCACACAACTTGATGTCAACTGCAGACTTACTGAGGGTGCACTCAATCCCACTGTTCATGTCTCCATCAAAGATGTTAAATAGCACTGGTCCCAGTACCAACCCCTGAGGAACACCACTCGTCACTGGCCTTCACGTGGACATTGAACCGTTGACCACAACTCTTTGAGAGCAACCATCCAGCCAATTCCTTATCCACCGAGTGGTCCATCCATCAAGACTGCAGACTTACTGAGGGTGCACTCAATCCCACTGTTCATGTCTCCATCAAAGATGTTAAATAGCACTGGTCCCAGTACCAACCCCTGAGGAACACCACTCGTCACTGGCCTTCACGTGGACATTGAACCGTTGACCACAACTCTTTGAGAGCAACCATCCAGCCAATTCCTTATCCACCGAGTGGTCCATCCATCAAGACCATGTCTTTCCAGTTTAGAGATAAGGATGTCATGTGGGACAGTATCAAATGCATTGGATAAATCCAGGTAGACAATGTCAGTTGCTCTTCCCCTATCCATCAATGCTGTAACCTCATCATAGAAGGCCACCAAATTAGTCAGGCAGGATTTGCCCTTAGTGAAGCCATGTTGGCTGTCACCAATCACCTCCTTGTTTTCTATGTGCCTTAGCATAGTCGCCAGGAGGATCTGCTCCATGATCTTGCCAGGCACAGAGGTGAGACTGACTGGCCTGTAGTTCCCTGGGTCTTCTTTTTTCCCCTTTTTAAAGATGGAGGCTATGTTTCCCCTTTTCCAGTCATTGGGAACTTCACCAGATTGCCACGACTTCTGAAATATGATGGATAGTGGCTCAAGGCTGCAAGGAGCCTCCTGCTCCCCAGGCTAGTAGTGCGGGAGCTCCAAAGCTTCCTTTACCTAAAGCGTATCCCAGCTGCTGTTGATCTCAGTGGATTCGACACACTGCATGAATTCCTTCCTGGCGTGGTAGATCCTTTCCCCTGCCACCTTTCTGAGCTCAGCTACATACATGTGTCTCTGGAGGAAACTTCCTTCTTCTGCAAGCTCCCTCTCCCCACCAGTGAGCTAAGCTGTGTTGTTTGCTACAAACGAGTGCTTTCAGTCTTTGCTTTCATGGGCATCTTCTTCATAGGGTGTCCTCTTCTCTGGTGCTTGTGCTGCAGGGCAAGGTCAGGTAATGGAGAATGCAGTCACCCAAAGGTGCCTGTGTTAGGCTCTAGGGACTTCTGGCCTTTCTGAGGAGGCAGCCTGAAGTTATCAGGAGTCTCTTGGGGTGTAATCAGTACGTGTGCCTCAAAGTGGAGTGCAGAGCTGGAGAGCTCTCCCTATGACTGAAGGGAGCAAGTCCCTTGGGGAAAGGAGAAAGATCGCTGGAGCTATATGGCAGCTCTATGAGTCTGGGATTGTCACAGCCCTGGCAGCCTCCCTGCTGGAGTTTGGACAGCTGTGCCATGACCCAACTGTGTGATGGTCCTGCCCCATGGGCAAAGACCCCAAGAGGTGGGCATGGCATCGGCATGGCATAGGCACACACTTTGCACTGGGTTCCGATGATCCCAGTACTGGGACTGGATCTAATTTTGTCCAGACTGATGAGGGAAATGGACGGATACCAACACTGAGCAATTACTCTTTTCTATTCTCATTTAGGAGGACCTATTGCTCTAAAACTGCACCAGTATTCCATACGTCATGTACTTGGTGTACTATTCTGTGGAAATTAGCAACCTGAGTGAAAATAAGCAACTGAGCTGCTTCATGCACCTGCAGGTAATTTGGCTGAAAATACAGGAGTGTGAATAACAATGTGGGACTTTGCTCTCAGTCCCGCAGACCCCAACTGTCATACCTCAGGAGCTAAACTCGGCCACCAGTACCTCCATTGCTGTCTATTGGGCTGTGAATGATGGAGACGCCATCGACTGCTTCCAGGTCTACTGTATGGAGGAGCTGCAAGCCAGCAAAGATGCAGGGGGTGAGTAAGGTCTTGCCTTCATGACAGCAGGAGTCCTTTCTGCTCTGGTCTGGTGTCAGCAGAGAGGAGGCCAAGCTGCAGGGGAGGACTCAGGACGCAGAGAGAAGAGGGTCTGTAAGGACATCATGAGTAGGACTAAGGGTGGGTAATGGTGGAGGAGAGAGGGAGGTAGATGCTGTTCCTTCTCCTGCCCTTTGTCCCCCACAATGCAAGATAAGTATCATGGTCTTTAGTGAACTTGAACAAAGCACAGGGCAGTTGTTTGCAGAGAAGCAGCAATATCCCTGTTGAGGTGCCGTCTTATGAAGTGGCTTGACCTTCAGATAGCATGTGTCCGTGCTGCCCCATCGGTGCTCATGCAGACTGCAGATAGTGGTCCCAAAGGGACAAGCTTCATTAGGTTTTTAGGCCCCTGCATATACTTTGGAAATGTGTTTTAGTCCAAAAAATTCACAGGAAAAGATCATCAGTAGTTCCACAGTATTTCCACATGTAGACAAAGATTTTTTTGAAAATAGCATTAAAATATTTCAAAAGTTAATGGTGAAATTGAGAAAAGAGGATTGAAAAGGGGAGGATTCCCCTTGCTCAGACTGATCATAAAGTCACTTGAAGCAACTGAGCTCTGCACAAATCTGTGTGTGCATGTGTGTATGTGGGTTCCTGTGTGCATGCTAAAGGATGCTAAGGGCTTTTTGTAATAGCTAATTTATAGCTAAGGGCTATGAAGTGCATTATGAGAAATTGTTATGTTACAGAATGATGAAGCCAGAGTTGGTAATTGCTGAGTCTATGTCTCAAATTTGCAGTCTAGTCCTCAGTAGGACTGAGGGCCATAATCTCCCCTTGCCATCAATGGGGTTTGAGCGCACTCAACTCAAGGGCACATCAGAAACTTTCTATCAAAGCTGAATCAGAGTGAAATACAGAGATCTTGGCTAGTAATGCCACCTAGATTTTTTAATTGACTGTTTTTGACATGTTAGTGCAACACATGAGCGTGACTTCCGCACTGTGTGTGTGTTCCTCCTAGCTTTGGTGGAAGAGTACAGAGTGACGGTGAAGGAGAGCCACTGCATTTTGGAGGACCTGGAGCCAGATCGCTGCTACAGTGTGTGGGTCATGGCTGTGAACGGCACAGGCTGTAGCTTACCCAGTGAAAAAGCCATTTTTAAAACAGGTATGTATATATTTTGGCATGAGATCATTATTTTGTCATTTGATTGTTATAAGCTTCAGGTCCTTAGACCAACTCTAGTCTATTGCGTTACTGAAGCAGAAAAAACTGCTTCATTTAGCCCATCTGGCAGATAGCAGGCAACTCGCAGTCGTTTCCCTTTCTGCTAAGAAACAGCAGCATAATTGCTCCTGGGAGGGAACTTGAAGGCATTCAGATTTGAAGATGTTTTCCAGTCTCAGGGCTCGTGACTGGAGTGCTGGGGCAGCACATTATGAATTTCCCTTCTGAACATGCTGCAGCGCTCCAGGGCAGCTTTGGGGAAGCCACCCAGCTGCTCCCTGCTGCTGCTGCTTCTCCTGTGGGAAATAGAGGTGACGGATGCATTTTTTTTGCCTCTCTGCCATCCTCCCAAATACATATATGTTGCATTGATTTAAATCTCTAACTTTTCAAGGGAAGGCCTGCTTTACTGAGGTTACACGCTGCGTCTAGCTCAGTGGGACGTAAATCTCAGGTGTGGCTGAGAGGCTCTGCTGCTGTTTAAGTGGTATAAATTAAGATGAGTTATTAGACAAGTATTGTTTATGAGCTTCATTTAACTGATTAATTTTTCTGAGCTTTAATTTCTTTAATAATTTGTATTGACAAAACTATTGCTTCTTGAATTACGAGCAAAGTGAATCATCTTGTGTCTGAGACCCTCTTGCCAGACAATGTTTTTAAAGCTACAGGATAAAAACACTCATTCCGTTCTTGCAGTCATAAATTACAGGCAAGGGTATTTAAAAATTTTGTAATGAAATAACTCCATACAACACTGAGTGTATTGTTGAAATCACTTCACAGCAACCACAGCTTCAAGCCTTTTGCTTAATACACAGGACTTCAAATTTGTCAATAATTCTCCTTGATATTCAATTTCCTGTTCATATTCTTAGCAAAGATTATTTTCCAGAGAATTCAAAGAAGAAATTCAAATTTTGTGGCATCAACAGTGTAATCGTGAGCATGGTGCAGAATTCCTGCAAAATGGTCAAAAAATAGTCATTCATTACTAGCTGTTAAATCGCAGTTTTAAAAGGGGTTCTCAAAGCCATTGTTTTTAGGAACTGCCTTTTCCTTTTGGCGTCAGGCTCACCTTTGAAGCCTTCTGAAGAAGTTAATTTCCTCGAGTCTTTGATGCCTTCCTTTGGCCTATTTTTTAAGAAAATAAATAAACTAGACCAAATAAGGGCTCATTAAAGACCTTCCCTCAAGCTGAGGTGAACTCCTTTTGGAGTGCACTGAGCCCCGGATGGACTTGTAGAGACACTGCTGAGCACTGACTGATGCAAAAACTCTGCATCCGCTTAACACCAAAGGCAGAAAGATGAGCACTGGTGATGGAAAGAAGTTCTTCAGAGTGAGCCCAGCTGCTCTGATATAAAGCTAGAATACTTTGATTCTTCAAGTAGCTCAATAAATTCGGAAGCAAGAATTTAGACTTTCTTTTTAGTAATTCAGATTAAAAGTTGGCACGTACAAGAAAATAATTTTCTGGTACATGCAGTTACGGGAACATACACATTAATAGTGGATCAAAGCGGTGCCTCTTCCAGGTTTTGGGAACCCCCACAGGTTTCTCTGTTGGGATTGCACCCGCGAAGGCGGCAGTGTGCCTGGGGAGGTGTGGGGAATGCAGGCAGGTCCTGCTGCAACATCCCCCCAGCACCTTCTGTCTCCTGATCCTCCACCTCCCAATCTCACAGCTTGTCCTCCCCTCCCCTGGGGAACACACTGTTTCCAAGCAGTATTTTCTGTGAGGGAACGATACTAAAGGGCAAGCATCCTCTCTATTCCCCCTCCTCCCTGTCCGTCTCAATTTGTTCTCCGGATGAAGGCTCTTCGAAAGTCCTAAAGACACAGGGGTAAGTGCAGCTTCCTCTGTTGTTCAAAACTGAGGTGATTCTCACCCTACATCTGAGGGACAAAGTAAGATCTTACTCTTTTTGGCTCTTCATCTCTTATAGGATCACTTAAAAGAGTGCTGGAATATTATAAGGAAATCAGATATATATTCTAATTGCAGTTAATTTGTTAAAACAATCTCAAAATCACAGCAAAAACTTTTTCTGGTATGCTCACTCCATCTACCCTTTAAACAGATGTTTTCAAATTAAAAAAAAGCTTGATGTCTTGTGACTGTTTGCACATACATAAATGTGAGTATGTATGTGTGCCAGTTGCTGAATGCGGGTATTAGGGGATTCAGCTATTAATTTTTCATTCTTTAAGAACAGGTGCATTTAAAAAGAGACAATAAACAAATATGTCAGAAGAGAATTAAGGGATTATTGCTAAGGGAGCTACACAGATGTATTACCAGATAAGAATCTATCCCACTCATCGTTCTGCTGAATACCTAGATTAGTAATCCCTGTAGTAAAACATCAAGTACGTCTTAACCTGAACTGCTGACCTCCTGGTTGTCACTAAACCAGGAAATCAATACGTACTCATAGATGTTTTTCTTTCCTTTTCTACTGAAAACAAATTATTTTTCTTACAAAACAGAATGCATCTGGAATGCTTGTTGCAGTTCTGTAACATTATTTTGTCATAAAATTGTCTAATTTCCACTTTTGTCTTAGACCTCCTGTTTGGCACTCGATTCCTTTAAAAGAAAAATAACTTTCTACAACTTTTTTTTAATTAATATCCTTTCATTTAAGGATTGGTATTGAGGCTGTTTATATGAGTTTCACCAACAGATTATAAGGTTCGTTTATGTTGCTGTTCCCTGGAAAGGGAAAGAACAAGTGAATACAACTAATCCATTTTCAGCCTATGATGTCGGATGTGCAATTTCACACAACAGCTTTTGATTACTTGCATTCAGTGCGCGATTTTACATTCCGTTTTCTATCTTGCAGTTCAGCCTGTAGTTATTAAGCTGAGGCTCTAAAAAAGAGAAATTACAGGACCAAATTTTGGCATTGCAAAAATAAACAGAACATAAATAAGCAGAAAGTCATCATTTCCCCATCAGTTCTGCAGCAGCACATTTTTCTGGTGCAGTTCATGCAGGGACTGCTGAGGACAGGATTGAGGTGATGCCTTGGTGCTCTGCTCCTTGAAGATCGGCAGAAATGAGGAAAAGGTGCTTGAGGAAAGGCATAAAAATCTACACGGGCATTCTAAGGCTGCGCAAAAATGCACAAATAGTCACAATGACTATCCCAGCGTGGATTTTTTGCCCCATAATGTAGCCCTCTGCCATTGAAATACAAACAAATGAAAGATCACTGCTGGACAGGCAAACTAACTATCCTGTGGGTTTCTGGGGAGGTGACTCTTCCTTTTCCTTGTGAGCATCCCCCTCCAGCTGCTGGCTCCCTCCTCACAGTACTGCTAACGTGTCCCTGTGTCCCCAGCACCTGCCATCCCCACCATCAACGCTGAGGACTGCACAGTGTGTTGGGACACGGCCACTGTCCGCTGGCACACCAGCTCGGCATCAGCGGAGTCCTTCACCCTGGAGTACTGCCGACAGCATTCACCGGAAGGAGAGGGTCTCAGGTCAGTACCGTGGTCGCAGGTGCCGCTTGGTCAGATTAGGCAGCTGCTAACGAGCATCCCCTAGACCGCGGGTCATTATGCAAGAGATTATTCTGCTTTCCACCGTGTGAGGAAGAAATCTGCTTCTGCGTGCTGAGGAATTTACAGAATGGACACTAATCTATGAGATTAGGCTGAGACATAAAAACACTTCCTTTTTATTCTGCTTAACTGGGCAATCCCTTTCTTCTGGGGCCAAAACCCTGAAGACATTGTGCTGTCTGCAGTCAACCAGAAGTTGCAGGGCTCTGCTGGTCAGGGAAGCAATCGCTGCTCAGCAGCTGCCACAACCCCGGGCAGGGTAGGGGAAGGCAGCTGAGCTCCACGGGAAGGAGTGAGGTGGAGGAGCCTGGCCCAGTTTGCTCTCTGCTTTGTTGTGAACAACATAGGAGCCAGTTTGGAGCATAGTGAGTGTGACACCAGTGACCCAGTGATACTGGTGACCCACCTGCACTGTCTGGATCCGCTGGCAGATCCCTCCCAAAGCACAACCGAACTCAGCATTGTCTGGCTGTTCAGGTGTGACACAAGGGCCAAAGAGCATCCCAAAGAGCAGCTTTGAAATTGGGGATGTTGTCTGCTTGTGCCACAGCCTCTCTGGTTTCCCTGATGCTAAGTCTGTGCTTGCGTAGAGGAGACGGCAAAGAGGGACATAGACATCACTGAGCCATGAAACCATGCACTGTGTTGAAATGCAGAGAAAATTATGTGATGCTTTGTATGTCCTTGGTGCTTGGCATTTTTTGTTTGTTTTTTAAAAACAATGACAATAATATTCCAGTAGATTCAGTAGAAAGTGAGAGCCCTGAAAGAGCAAAGGCCCTTTTTTCTGGCTGACCCTCATTTTTATACTGGGCATGACGCTGCATGATATGGAATACTTCATTGTCCAGTTTGGCCCTCAATCCTAAGTCTAAGTACAAATCATAAGGAGAGTCGTGGACCCTCTGTCCCAGCCATGCTCCCCCCTATCCTGTTGTGCTCCTGCACACTGGCAAGAACACGGCAGCTGAGAAGTTTTTGAGGCCTCAGTGCCAACTATAAACACCAGTGCGCTGTCAGCGTTCTTCTCAGAACAAGTCTCAGACTAACACCAAAACACGGAGCTCTTCTGGCTGCTGAAAAGAAGAGCTGACTGTGTTCCAGCTGAAACCAGGACGGGGTGACTCGCCATACAGCACCCTGTGGAAGAGCCCCAGCCCAGCTGAGTTTGTCTTCTTCATCTCCCAGGGAGACTTGACTAGGGTCTTCACCCAGGAACTAGTTCACATGGACTTCATGGAGCCGTGGCAGAGAGGGAAGAGCTCCACCCGCTGCACTCAAAATTAATTAAATGGATTAAAATGCTCACAGGTTTCTAGTAATGACAGTGAAATTTTGTGTGCCTTGCTCCTTACAAAAGTAGGCTAAGACTTGAAATTAAAAAAATCTGCAGGTTTGGAGACCTTATTTTCACACAGTAGCAGGGTGCTGCATTAATTCAATGAAGGAGAGGTTTTGCCCAGCTCTCCTGCCTCTCGGAGGGCAACCACAACCTGCTCCATTTCGTACTTATTTCATGAGACCGTCAGGTCCCTGTCAACCTGCTAAAGCCACTGTTTGGTCAGGATAAATCTGCTCCCAAAACCTGTGCTATGTGTTTGCCCTTGAGTTTCTTTGCTGTTAACTTGCCCCTTTTTCTCAAAACTGAACCAGAAAGTGTGCCAGTTTCTGAAATCCATGAGCAAGGTGTCAATAACACCAAGCAGTTTGCTTGTGTGTTGATAACTGTGGCAAAAAGCTGCCAGAACTGACCCATTCTCTTTCTCAAGTGACCTTGTGCAAAATATAACATGTTTATAATTATACTGGGTCGCATTTGACTTTTTGGTCTCCCTGTGGGCAGAATCTGGCCTTTTACTGTGACAAATGTGAAAAATGCCCACAGGACAAAATCATGAATTTTCTCCAAATTGCTGTAGTTTAAATTTCTGCATTCATAGAAGGGCTCTGACCTCTTTTTACAGTGTCACAGACCATCTTTTACCACTTATTTTCCCCCAAAGCAATGTGCCTCTTTCCTTTTCCAAAAGCAACTCCCAGAGATTAACCTGGAAGTCTTTTGTAACGGCACAAGATGTTTCAGTGATGGAGAAATTTTTTTTAAGATTTCTATTTAAATTTTTGCATAAAGCCAGGGAAAAAAGACCCCACTGGTAGACGGAGCATACTGCCTGTATTGCTTCTATCCAAGGCTCCGAAGGTGCAAGTTAGGACCAGAAATCAATTCCTGATGTAGCTGATAGAGTGAGAAACTACCTTTCGGAAGTACCTGTAGAGAGCTTACAGTTCCTATGTCAAATACCTATATCAGGAGGAATAAAACTGTGTCTTTATGCACACCTAGCATTTGGGCCTGGAAATGCTGTAGTTTCTTCTGGTTGCTTTCCTTGAAAGCTTGGAATTTGTCAGAGAATTATAGAATCATAGAATCATAGAATGGTTAGGGTTGGAAGGGACCTCAAAGATCATCTGGTTCCAATCCCTCTGCCATGAGCAGGGAAACCCTCCACTACACCAGGTTGCCCAAAGCATCATCCAACCTGCCCTTCTCAGGTTTCCTGACCAACACTCATCTTGAGGACCATTCAAATGTGGAGCCGTTTGACAGCCTGTGCCTCTCGTGCTTGCAGCAGCATTGAAGTTCTCAGCAATCCTAGAAAGTTCATACAGCAGCTGCTGACAGCATAGCATGAAAGCAGAGGTTGGGGATGGACATCCAGGGGAAGTCCTGGAGAAAGCAGTATGGTCCCATCCCACAAGGCTGCTTTCACAGATGTCATCCTGGGAGCCCATCCAGGGAAGGGACACTGCCAAGGGAGCAGGGAGGGAGAAATGCCCCGTCAAACAGCCAGAGACGAGTCTGGAGCCCCTAGTCTAGACCAACCTCCTGTAGCCTTTGGCATGCCACAGAATCACAGGATGGTTGAGGTTAGAAAGATCCTTTGGAGGTCATCTGGTCCAACACCCCTGCTCAAGCAGGGCCACCTAGAGCCAGTTGCCCAGACGGCTTTTGAATATCTCCAAGGAGGGCCTCGGAAAAGTCCTGGAGCAGTTCCAGCTTCCCTGGGAGAGAATTTGAAGAACATCTGGAAATAAATCCTCATTAAATGTTTCCTTCTAAATACCATTTAAAACCTCTATGTTTTCCCCTCTGGGTTCTCTCCTTGCCAGCTTGCCATCTGAGGGACGTGGTTTCATATAGAACCATCTTAAATCTTCTACAACAGCGAGTCCCTGGCCTGCTGCTGTGATTTTAAAGCTCCTTCCTGGGCTGATTCTTTTTCCAGAATCTTTATGAGGCTTTGAAATCTTTCTATCAGCTTCCTGAGCTCTGCTATTTTCTTACCGTTCAGCCTCTTTGTGTTGAGAAGTCAATGGAGCTGTGGGTGGAAGATGGAAAACTGCAAGAAATGTAGTCCAGGGATTAGGTGTGTGGGCTGTTCAGATGGAAACCATGTATCACATCATGAGATATCTGTAAGACTCAGGGAGGCAGAAATTAGTACAGTATGCGGTGAGTTTGTAAAAGTGGAAGTGACTGAGTGTCATCCTCTCCGCCAATGTGAGACTGGCACTGCTAGTGAACGAAATTTTCCATCTACTTATACAGCAGGTCTAATGCTGGAAAAAGGAGAGTAAGCCTCCCTCCGATTGCATTGCCCACATGACTGTCCTGCCAGCTCAAGAAACAAGGTGTGAAAAACAGGGACTCTTTATCCCCTCCAGCTGTGCTGGGCTTGCCATCTCAGACAGCAGTGAGGACCACTGCAGGTGGTGCTTTGGTGATCTAACCCCAGAACAGCCAGAGCTGGGACAGAGGAGAGGAAAGGAAGAATGTGGCACAGCTGGAAGAAAACTCAGAGTTATTTGTTCTTTATTTTTAGCTTCAAGAGCTTTTTTTCCCTCTCATGGTGCACCTCTTCTATGTGCTTCTATGGGTATCTTGAGAAGCTTGCATACTTTCAGCTCTAACTCTGCATCAGTGGTACCAGCACAGACCAGGAGGGGCTGTTTCAGTGGGATCTTGGGGGTAGAAATGACAATTACAGCACAGAGGGTGTTCTGAATCACTGTGAGGCATATCATTTTTTGGGTTCATGCAATATTAAAAAAATACCCTCTAGACATTGTTTCCTTGAAATAAATGAGGATGTTGATGAGAGAAACATGCATTAAAACACAGCATTAGATTTCCCCCAAATCAGGGAAATCACAAATGTAATAGGCAACTGCTACTCTAATATTCTGTGGCAATTCAAAAGTGAAGAAATGCGTAACTCCTTTCTGTTCTGCTTTGAATAGCATGTACCTGAAATTTGGAGACTGGATTTTGAGATGTAAAGATTCCTCTTATAAAGAGATGTATGAAGAGGAGATACTTAAAATATTTAACTTCAAATGCTGCTTGAATTTCTGTGTACTGAATTTTGTATCATGATACCAAGACATTGTGGGGACAGTGCAGGTATGATAACATTTAGGCTAAAGTCCAGGGTGCCTCATGCTTTGATAAAATGTTATTACGTTTCGAATCGTCTATAAAGTGGGCAAGTGTATTTAAAGTAGAAAATAGCTGACATTGAAAAATGTAGGTGAATTTCTCTTTCTTTCATGGCCAAAATTACACAATTCAATACCTAAGGTGAGCTTGAAGATCTACCTGCAATGCTTGTTACAAGAGCTTGGAAATGAAACAGGCTTCCCCCAACAGTCAGGATGCATTTTCCCTTCCCTTCTCCTATGCATGACCTGGATGCTGTAAACTAAGCAGTAATCGTACCTTCTCCTCATCCTTGCTTTTTCATCACTGTTTGCAGGGTTACCCTGAAGCATGACAAACTACAGTGATTGCTGGGGAGACCTCAGTACTCACTTTCTCCCTTCACCCTACCCTTTAGACAGAAGGAGAGGAGACAGCAAGACCTATTTCTTCTTTGCACGCAGCCTCTTGTGAGCTTGGACCTGGCTCAGACTGTTGCAAATGAAATTCCTTCTTGTTGGCACATTCTGTTTCATTAGTTGGCAGCAGCGGGACTGTTTTTTAAACATTAATTGTAGCTAAAATGGATAGGCTCTTATTCTTAGCTTAAAGCTGACTAAAATAGATTACCAAGCAGAGAATGCTATTTGAAAATCTGATCACTGTTTTACTGACCAGATCTGCTTAAAGTTCAGACTGTTCTATCTCGCTATTAAAACTGAAAAGAGGCGTGCTATTGCTCTCAGATTCAAACATGCAATCAAATTCTAATTTGGAGAATTTCAGATTTGAAAGAGAAACAAGTCTGGACTTTGATGGCTGACCCTATTCTGCAATTGACTGGACCCAAACCATCTCTGAATACCCAGGCTCTGGGATCCGGACTCCAGAATATGACAGCTCCAGGACTACTCATTACTCCAGAATGTACCTGCCTACTTGGATTTAGTAAAGATTTTATGTTTTATTAACTAATCATCAGTTAAATAGCACATAGTGAAAATGATGATCTCCTAATTTCTTTGGAAGGATACTGACTTACATGTCATTTTCTAGAAGACAAGAAGCAGCATATAGAGGGCATCACAGTGCTTAAGACATGTTGATCTATGTGTTGCCACAGACTCTACCAACAAATAGCTTAGCATATCCTCCCTTCTCTCACTTGTAACTATTTGCTCAAAACTTCATTCTGGTGTTCTGAGCTTCAGATTCACATTAAAGATGTCAGGATGGTGCTTTTAAGGAACAGATTGAACAGATTGGGTGGGACTTGTCTAGGAAGCATGGACAAATTTCTTCAAAGCTTAGGTACCTGCTTCTTTTCCCCTGCCTCTGCTTCTATCCCGGTTTTATTTTCTCTCACTTTTATATTTGCCTGCCTGCTCAGTTCCCATCTTGTATTTTTCTTCAACTCATCTTTCCTTTTTTGATTGTCCCTTATAACTCAGGTGAGTCTTTTTCCTCTTTCAAGTCTAAAGATCTCAGGTTCTCATCAGGCAACTCATCAGGTTGCACCTCTCCCCTAAACTTTTCAGTAAGAACCCATCAGCCTGCCAAACTCCCAGTGCCTTGCTGAAGTGCCCTCATGGTTGGGGCTCTGGTTAGTCACAGGGATGAAGCAAACCTTGTTTGGACAACCCACTTCTGTTTACTGCATCAGTTGTAACATTAATGTAACGTATTCCTAAAAGATGGCATGCCCCCATGCTGACCACACAAGATCCCCAAACTGTCTGAAATTCTTTCAAATTGAAAAAAAAAAAACCAGGCCACAGGAGCACCCAGTACTTTTTCTCAATGTTTTCAATCACTTTTAGTGCAGCTGTCAGTACAAAATAGCTGTTACAGACTAGTAAGGGTGAGGCACCGGTTTCCCCAGGATGTCATCCTCCTAGACACAGAGCTCTATGTGGTGCTAGTAGGAATTTGGTGTGTGTAGGGCTGTGGGATTTTACCTGTACGTGATAAATGCAGCAGAGGCAGGCATGTGAAAAATCCTGATGGACGAGCACTGATTATCCTTCAGGTTGTACTGCTCTCTGGTGGGATGTATGCAGAAAAACAGTCACTACAGATGATAGCAACAGTTTGATCTGACTGCTGACTTGCCTGCCTTACCTCCTCTGGGGTCACAGTAATTAGTGCTGGAAACAGGAATTTGTTTAATCTAGCTTCATATAGAGACATTATCTGCAGGAGGGAGACCATCCTGGCCTCTGCTCTTGAACCTGAGGTGAAAGAGAAAGTGCCTTGCATGCTCTCCAAAGCCACATCTCCTGTTCGTGAATTTAGATACTTGCCTTGAAGATTCCTATAAACATTTCTGGGAGGAAATTGTCTACTTTATGCAAATGAACAGTCTTTACCTGCAGGCATACAATGCAGTGGATATATACTGTCTGGCTTTGCCATTATCATAGAATCACGGAATTCTGTGCAGCCCAGGATGGTCTCCCTCCTATAGGTAATATGAGGCATCATTTTTGTCTCATATGATCATACTATATATTTATATATGACATGTAATATATATATGCCTCATATAATCATATGAGGAAAAATGAGGAAAATCAGGACCCAGTGTATAAGAATTTGTTAAGCCAATCTTCCATACTCCTGACAACATAGAAAATAAAATTAGCATCTTTCTATCCATCCAAAGTACTTTTTCACTGGCACTTCAAAGCGCCTGCGAAGTAGATTGAGTGGGTGCTGACTCTCACTTTCTGGCATAGTGTCAAGACATCAGTGGCTGAGGATGCGAGGGCTGGAGCTGTTGAGACACCACAAAGGGGAGACTTAGTCAAAGCAACTCCACAGTGCAAAAGCAGTCCCCCTGCTGCTGCCTCTTGTGAAACCAGCCTGTTAGACTGCATGACACCATGAGGGGGACAGACCCAAGACTTTGTTAATGAACAGTTTGTGAGCCTGGAGTTCATAATAAGAAGTGCATGGTTTCTCTGAGGTCTTGGATAAGAATATCCATTAATTTGGACCTGGGGCATGTGCCCAGACAGTACAAACGAAACGAGTGTATTCACTGTCATGCAACTGAATTAATTAAAACATTTCTTTTTCTTCAAAATCTTGTTCATTTTGTAAAGCAGACTTTTCACAGGAGGCAGAAGAGAATTTGATTCTGTGCTGCTTGCGTTTTATGTGATGACTTACGCTGCAAAATGAACACAAAGTGAGCATCGCACCAAATGACTGTCCCAAGTGAGAAGGTGGTACAGGGACAAAGGTTTGAAAATTTGTCAGACAAAATAAGGAGAATCCCTCGAGTAAAATGACAAAGCTCCTACATTACCCAGTTGTTTGTGAAAACAGTGTTCACCTGTCCAATTTGGAGTTTCTCTAGGATGCCTGTTGTTTCCGTAGTCAATAATACTGTGAGGTGGCTCAGCTGTTTGCACAAATTAGTCTTTCCTGGTTTGGATATCTGCATACATTTTAATGTATGAAAATCTTCAAATTTTGCAGATCTTTTGCTGGTATAAAGAGACCTGAACTGAAAGTATCCCTGGAACCTAATGTGAACTATTTCTTCTACTTGAGGACTGTCAACCCATTTGGGACAAGTGAACAAAGTGAAGCAGCTCTCATCTCAACTAAAGGTAGATCACCACCTTCTAATGCTAAAACAACGGGATGGAGGGGCAAAGCAGCCAAAGATGGCATTTTCTTCTGGAAATCACCTGAACTTTCTGATACAGAAGTGAGCAAGTCATTGAGATAAAAAGGACTTAAAACTATCAAAATCAGGGACTACTTCAGTTGAAGTTTGTATATTTATGTCAATGTAAAACTGATGTGACCTCAGAAGCAAAAATGTTGAATTCTGTCAGAGATATGAAATGATTAAATATTCTTCAGGGATCTGTTTGCTTGAGTTTGGCAAAGCACATTCCGATAAAAGATGCCGTGACCTTAAAAAAGACTGTCACAATTGAAACCTTACGGACTTTGGGTTTCAGGGATGAGGAAGCATGCAGGACAGTTTTAAAATGTAATGGATTATTTAAACTTTAAGTTTTCCAGCTTAATAGTGTTAAATCATGCATGGTTCTTCGCAATCAGCCTCAAAATTCAAATTTGCTATTTTGAAAAAGCAATTGATTGAAAATTATTTAGCCTTCTTAAATACTGAAGACTTCTTTATCACCTAGCTACATTTCTGAATATTAGACTGCCGTCCCAATTGGGCACAGCTTGGAAGACTCCTTGCATTTACACCCAATTTTCTATCCCTTCTACCTGCCAGCAAGCACAACTCTGTCCAGTTAAGATAGCCATAATTGTTGTTTAACATTTTATGATTCACCTCATGTTAATGTTGCCAGCCTCTCAGAACTGGTGTTTCTTTGTCATGAATTGTACCAGGAACTCGATTTCACCTGCTGAGCGACACAGCCCATCCTGCTTTGCAAATCTCCTCCAAAGCAACGGTGATCCACCTTCCTGAGAAAACCAAATTCACTGGGTGAGTGGCAGCATGACGAACACGATCACCCTGCGGGGTTCAGGATGGGTCCTTCACTCTTATTTTTGCCTATAGGTAGCTTTCACATGGCGCTAACTAATTTTGTAGAAGAACTGAATTGTTTCAGTCATGCAGCCCCGGGACTTTTCACTGAACCCTCTTTCAAGCACTGCAATATGTCAATAAAGCCAGCATCGATGCAAGTGTTGGGAAGAGTCCGGTGTTGCACAGAGGAACAGACAGAAAGTTAAAGGCAGCGGTACCTACTGGGACTGCTGGGTTTGCCTCAGTCCATGGTCACTGCTTAATCCTTCAGAGCACTTCAGTCTCAAAGCAATCTGTTGCTGCCCCAAGAAGACCAGATTTTTGGGCTTATTTTTTAATATATTGTGGCTAGTAATTCATCTTCCATACTTTGCTCCTCTACTGAGGGCATTATTGTTAACCATCCTGATGTCAGCCAGGATAGAGTTAATTTTCTTCTCAGTAGCTTGAATACGGCTGTGGTTTGGATTTAGTATAGGACTTGGTATAAGAAGAATCTTGATTATACACTGATGATTTTAGTTGTTACTAAGAAATCAATGAGTTTTCAACTTCCTATGCTTTGCCTGTGTGCAGGTGCACAACAAGTGGGAAGGAGCATAGCCAGAGCAATGGACCCACTTACTTTATTTCAATTATACCAAATTATTTTATTTCAAATATTAAATTGCTCTTATCTCAGCCCACGAGTCTCCTTCCCTTTACCCCTTCAATTCTTTCCCCTGTTCCCCTGGGATGGGGGAGAGTGAGCAAGCTGCTGCTTGGTGTTTGGTTGCCAGCTGGGTTAAAGCACAACAATAACGTTTTCCGTAGTGTCTGTGGCTTTGGAGAACTAGGAAGTGCTCCTAGGATATGTTCGAATGGTTGTACCCGGCTAGCTTCATCCATTGCAAACATGATTTTTTTTTTGCATACTGATACTGGTCCCATCACAAGCACAGGTCTACTTGTGTAAGTTGTGCCATACTGATACAACTTCTTAAATGGTAATGAGGTGTTACTGGTTTAAGCACTTTTTTTACTGTACAGCTGAACAAGATGTTTGTCACTGTGTTTATTTAAAACAGTCATACTTTCCAGTTGGAACAAACCTTCCAAATTTGAAGTCCATTTTTTTGCCTCCAAAGTCACCTTTTCCACCTTTTGGTAGCTTCATATAATTTTGGGTAAAATTTCGTTATTTTTACTCTTTAAGATTAGTCCATCCCAGTGCAAAGATGAAATGACTCTCAGAGACAACATTCAAATCTTTGTGAAAACCTTGCAGTTAGAAGAACAGAGTGCAATCCATTAGTAATTTTAGATGCTGCTGCATGACATGACTATAAGAAATATCACAATATGGTTGGTCTACCACCGCACTCACTCTACTGTATGCATCTTCCACAAACAGGTTTCCTTCAGTCCTGGGTGAACTGCTGCCTGCTCGGGGATGTCATTACTGGGAAATCATTGTCTCTGCCTGCAGAAGCTACAGGATTGGGATTTGCTATGAGGCAATATCACAGAGCAGTGTCCTGGGGCTGAGTGATACCTCCTGGTGCATGCGGTGCTGTCCTACACAAACCAGGTAAAGCTGAGTCAGTCTAGTTCCTTGAGAAGTTAGTTGCCCTTCATGTAAATACAGCTGGCCAGCTTCAAGAGAAGATCCATCTGCTTTCTTTCTGCAAATTTAAGTAATAAGAAAAGGACAACTGCAAAGGAGCTTTAGACCTCCTCTTAATTAAAAAATCTTATAAAGCATCTTAAAAAATAAAATTAATCTCAAAAGATTTGTTTACTGCCCTTCATCCAGCAAAAAACTAATTTGCCACTGCCTTGTGATTCCAGGCTCACATCCCGAACTGCTTCACAAAATCCCAGCAAGTGTGTTTAATCCCATAAATGCAGTCTTTTTAGAATCTTCTTCCATCTGCAGGAGGTGTCAAGCCCCCATAGGGAATGTCTTTTCCTGCCTTGTCCTTCACAGTGATAGGCACCCACCTACGACTGTGCCAGGACTGCAGGGTGTTGGGGTAGTCTTTAGCAGGCCGGTACCAGGCTGCTTGGAAGTTTGTAAGGGGTAACCCTGTTAATGGTGTAAAGGTGCCTCTTGGTCTAAGTCTGGTTTTTTTAGTGTGAAATCATATAGATGCATGAACATAACTAGCTAAATGAAACATCTGAGATGCAAAGGGTTTTGCCAAAGCAGAGCTCATGCTTAAATCCCCACAAAGACATATAATAAGAAAGACGTAGATGAATATGATTACAGCAAGTCTGCTTTTATCCTGAGAGACGAAAGACATCAAGTGAAAGGGATCATCAGCACGCCAGGCAGGGCTTTGAAGTGATGCCACATTCACTTTACTTACATACTGAGAAAAATGCTGTTGCCACATGATGTGCTGCTGTATGCAGCCACCTGTTAATAGGAGAGAATTAAGCCATAGGTTATTTTTGGTAAATCACCATAAGGAGGCTCACAGTATTCTGGTTACCATTTTCCTGCAGCTCTCTTTACCGATTTCTTCACACCGGTGTGATGAGCGATGTCTGTGTGACAGAACACCCAGCCAGGATCGGCATCCTGTTGGATTACAGTGGTGGCAGACTGCTGTTCTTCAATGCAGAGAGAGGACTGGTGCTGTTCTCCATCAGGCACAAATTCACTGATGCTGCTCACCCGGCCTTTGCCCTGGAGAAGGCTGGAGTGCTTACCCTGCGCACGGGAATGGAGCTACCGGAGTTCGTGAAGCACAGCTAGTCCCCTGCTTCACCCTCTCAGGAAAATTGGCAATTATTAACAGCTTCAGGGGACAGGGAGGGGAGGCGGGGTGCCAGGGAGGTATGTCTGGTCATCACCAATGAATGCTACGCACACAGCTCTCCCCATCATCGTCAGTAATTGTAGTTAGTGCTCAACCATGTAATCACCGTGAGCCTGGAGAGAAAATCAGCTCCTTCAGATGGAGCGTGCACGTAGTGATATACACAGCAGTGTTTTTGAGGGGATAAAGATGTTTTGTTAGACATGAACATTAAAGGGGATAAGGGAAATGTGCTTTCCCTGTGATAGTGCTAGCTGTCTTTTTAAAGTCGATCTTGAGCCTGTGTATGAAATAAATGCATTTCTCACTGCAATACGTGAAAGCCATCATTTCATCATTTGCCAGGACAGTCGAAGCCCGAATCCAAGATGATGTGTTTGAAAAACGTGCAAACATTTCAACAACTGAAACAATCCACAGGTTAATATATCTTGTGTTATTGTTTGCCAACTGTTTTCTTTAAATGCACAAGTTAAGAAAACTTGGAAACAGAAATCTGCACGTTTGCAAAATGGGTGAGTCCCAGATGAGTCCTTTTATCAGTCGTGTAAAGTTTGAGTATGCAACGGTTACCTAACCTGCTCACAGTAGACTAACAGATAGCTTCCTGTCTGTGTCAGTAAAAATCTATGCCTGTGTTTAGCTACTCATGAAATACATGTATGAGGAAACTTGACAGTAGTGGTAAAAGTCTTCCCCTACGTTTTTTGTCCTCGATTTGTTATAGAATCATAGAATGGTTAGGGCTGGAAGGGACCTTCAAAGGTCATCTAGTCCAACCCCCCTGCAAGGAACAGGGATATCTCCAACTAGATCAGGTTGCTCAGGGCCTCGTCCAACCTGGCCTTGAACATCTCCAGGGATGGAGCATCCACCAGCTCTCTGGGCAACCTGTTCCAGTGTTCTACAACTCTCATGGTAAAAAATTTTTTCCTAATATCCAATCTGAATCTACCTCCCTCTATTTTAAAACCATTACCCCTTGTCCTATCACAACAGGCCCTCCTGAACAGCCTCTCCCCATCTTTCTTGTAGTCCCCCTTGAGGTACTGGAAGACCGCTATAAGGTCACCCCGGAGCCTCCTCTTCTCCAGGCTGAACAGCCCCGACTCTTTCAGCCTGTCCTCATAGGAAAGGTGCTCCAGCCCTCTTATCATCTTCGTGGCCCTCATTTGGACCCTCTCCAACTGGTCCATGTCCTTCTTATGTTGGGGGCTCCAGAACTGGACGCAATACTCCAGGTGAGGTCGCAAGAGGGCAGAGTATAGGGGGAAAATCACCTCTCTCGACCTGCTGGCCACGCTCCTCTCGATGCAGCCCAGGATGCGGTTGGCCTTCTGGACCGCAAGAGCACATTGCTGGCTCGTATTGAGCTTCTCGTCCACC